CCGAGCGAGGGCAGGAGCTTTCTGGATCGCCCAGGCGGGTTCCCACTGCCTCTCAGACAGACTGGATGCCGTTAAGCCCGGATTTCCTGGCAGGCCCGCCAGAGGCTTTTCCAAAAGGCATCTCAGCCCGCGGGGCACAGCCTTTCCCTGTCTCATCTCGACAGGGAGCCCCTGGACACACGCCCCCTGTTTCCAGCTGGTCGCACACGCTTTTTTTTCACGCTGCAACCAGAAAGCCGGGCCAAGGTGTGACATTTACGAACCCCAGCAACTGGGAGCTGTGCGCGCACGCAGTGCTGCCTGTGATGTGGGGAGTGATGAATGGGCCGTTCTGCTTCCCCTCTGGCATGCCTGCAGCCTATTTACTACCCGGCCAAGTATAAAACCGCGGGCCGGCTGTGCTCGGTCTCCAGCCCGGCGTCCCCCGAGGAGACCACGCGCCGGAGCCCGGCCGTCCGTCTTCCCCAGGAGGCTCCCGGCTTGCTGAGAACCATGGTCCGTGGGCACCTGCTGGCTCTGTTTGTCCTCCCTTTTTGCCTGTGTCAAGATGAATACATGGAGGTGAGCGGCAGAGCTAATAACGTGGTGGCCAGAATAGTGCAGAGCCACCAGCAGACCGTCCGTGGTGGCTCCAGGAGGGAGACAGTGAGAGAGCGGAGCCACCCGAGAGCGGGGACGGTGGCTAATAACGCGTCTGCAGACCTAAAGCCCCCGAGGCCAGATGAGCTCCCGCACCCCGAGGTAGATGGCCTAGCCCCGATCACCCCGTTCTGGGGCCAGGTACTCAGCATTCTCTTCTAAGGCTTTCCTGGGAGGGGCTGTCCTGGCTGTGGCTTCAGCTGCGATTCTGAAGGGGGGTGCTTCTGAGACGTCTGCTGAGCTGCTGGTGGGTGTCTTTCCGGGGTGCTCTGTGCTCGAGAGGGCTGTGGGTCTCTTAGAAAGCCAGCAGGGGTCGGTGTGCTGGGACAGAGAGACTGCTTGGTGCTCCGCCAAATAGGACACTGGGGGCCGCCAGCTCCCTGCTCTGCTGTGACTTGGTGTCCCTCTTCCCTGGTGTGGAAAGAGGAGGCTGACCATGCGGTAGCCACATGGCTGTCCCTGCTCATTCGCCGGTCATAAGGGAGTTGGGCTTTCTGAATCCGTGCCCAGCAGGGAGAAGCTGCCCTGGCGGTTTTCGCTTTGCTTTGAGGGTTTACTGCGGCCTTTTATGCCAGGCGTGTGATCTGCTTGCTAGCTTTCTAGGTCGCTAAGTTTCTATGTTCCGTCTGTTTCAAAAAGGACCAAAGAGTTAAAATAAACCAAGAGTTAAATCAACCAAAAGGCTGTATATTTAAAATGTAAACCTCATTGTATGAGTGAATGCCTGATAATCGCAGAGGATGGGGTTAATTTCTCAGAGTAAGAGCTCGGCAATAAAGGAACGTCTTTAACTCTTTTTTCATTGAATCTTTATTGCTGAGTATTACAGGCAACCCCCTTTACTCCCTCCAATGGCCCCCTCCACCGGGTTCTCGTCCCACCCCGGGCCTTCACCACCCTATTGTCTGTGTCCATAGGTAATGAAAGGTAATGAATGCATCTGTGCACATAAATTCTTTGGTTAATCTCGTCCCATCCCTCCTCTCCCCCTTCCCTCTGAGATTCGTCAGTCTGTTCCATGTTTCCATACCTCTGGTTCTATTTTATTCATCAGTTTATTTTGTTCATTAGATTCATCTTTAACCCTTTTAGGGTAGTATGGGAGTGAGCTAAATTTTCAGTGTTGTGAATGGCAAATTGGTGGGACTCAATTTATTTTAAACATTAAGGACAGCAAGATTTTAACATTAAGGACAACAGGTTTTAAAATGTCTATTTAAAACTATTTAACATATTTTTAACTGAAGTATAATCTATAAAAATAAAGGCGTCATATGATAATTAGACCGGACATCCTTCCAGACAAAGCCAGGGCTGTGAGGAAAGCCCAGGTCCCAGGTACCAGAGGGAAGCTGGTGCCAGCAGTCGGGGGAAGGAAAGCCTACTCTTGCACAAATTTCGTGCATCAGGCCTCTAGTGGATATATAACATTGTATTGGTTTTAGGTGAACAGCATAGGGAGATTTTTATTTACTTTCTAAGCACCAAGCTTGCTGAAATCAGATGAGGGGGCAAGGAGAGTTACTTTGAATTATGTGATCTTTGAACAAATAGGTTTCACTACAAGAACTGACTGCTTTGATGCATTTAAATGGACCCTGAAAAGGGACATGCAGTTGCAATCTGACCCCCTCCTATCACAGGTGGAGAAGTTTGGGTTGAGACTCCTTATCTGATCAGGGACCA